TTTATTTCTGAACCTAAGCTACCTTATTAAATCCAATAGGTAGTTTCACTCATTTAAGGGGACTGGTTTAAATCCAGGATGAACGCGTCTTATGGGATCTAAACAAGATTGTGTAAAATTTTCAGAGGTGCTGAAGTGACTTTTGAGACCCGTTTTCCTCAAGTGACTCAGGTGTGAACAACTTTCAGCCAGACTTTGCATCTAAATGCTGCTTAATGCCTATCTTTGAAAATAGGATGTGAACTTCTAAGTCACTCAAGCACTTCCTAAAACCTTGCTCATGTCTTTTGAGAGAGGAAGGACTTGTCTATTGATGTAAAATGCCGCTTAGCTCCCTAATTAAGGAGCTAAATTATCATTTAACAGTATCAATTTAGCCTAATGTTAAATATTCAACTTCAGCATCAGAATTTGAGAGAATTGATCTGATGTAATATCCCTGTTTTAATGCATTATTTCTAATTTTTTGTTTTTGACATGTGGTATTTTCCTCTTTCACAGCATCACTGTAGACAATGTGGAAATATCTTTTGCGCTGAGTGCTCAGCAAAGAATGCCTTAACTCCTTCTTCTAAGAAGCCTGTCCGGGTCTGTGATACTTGTTTCAATGACTTGCAAGGATAACTGGTTATCTCAAATGACGTGTTACACTAAAATTAAAATTTCTGTTGATGCACTTCGTACAGCACTCAGACTACTATTCAGTTTGGACAATGATTGTAACACTTGGCAAAATTTAGTATATTTTAAAATGTTTACTGATACCAAGTAAAACTATTGTATTTTTTGTGAGACATGGGCTCAAATCATCCATAGCTTATTGCCATTTACCCTGGAAAAGAGATTTTATGTCTAGATTAGAAATACCCAGTTACTTGTAAATAAAGTTTAAACAGAGGAGTAACAATGTATTTTTTTATCTTTAATTTTTTGTTCAAAAGAAAAATGTTTATGTGATATTGCAGCTAATTTTTGTTTCCTTTTGAAATGAGGAAGTTGCAAAAATCTGCCAGGACTTTGTGTATCAAATATTGCTGCTTTAATGGCATAATTACAATTAAATTGTTGCATTTAACTGCATAGCTAATATTCTTTATAACCCACTAGTCATTTTCTTTAGGACTTCCATGTTTGCCTCTTTCCAGTTCTACAATGAGAGCAAATAACAGAAATTGCATGCAACCTCATTGACCTCTATAGGGTCTGCCCACATGCAGCTTATTGCAATGTCAGTGCCTAAGTCATTGCCCAACTGCAGCATTTGGATATGGGGGCATTTTTACATGTACTGAATGGTTCCAGTATCTCTACAGACAAGGAAAGAACAGGAGAGAAAGTTTGGCTTCTTTCCTAGGAATATTATGTATCCTCTCTCGTTTTGATGTATTTGACCGTCCCAATTATTTGCATCTGAGAGTGTTTATTTAAATTATTTTTTTTTTAGTTCTGTTTTTACCTTGGTCACAATGGAAGTCCACAGAAATCCTTGGTTGGTCTTTCTATCAGCTTTCCTATGCTATATTTCCTACTAACAAGCTTTCTTTTGAGACTCCAGGAGGTTCATATGGTCTTGTTCCTTTCATTGCACTTGATGGAAGAAGGTGAGACCAGATTGTCCGTAACAGAGTTGGTCTTTTCTGCTTCATATAAACTTGTGGTACTCAATCATTTCTTAAGCCTGGGTCTTGCTTGGTACAATAGTTCCATTATTTGGCCTGCTCATATTGATTAAGAATGCTGCTGTTTTATTTATAGAAAGGGCAGTTGGGCTTAAATAGGAAAAAGGAATATCTTGAAAACGTGAAAAAGTAAGTATTTATTCTCCCTAGCTGTGACACAGAAGGTTTTAAAGCATTGCACATATACACATACCCCTTTTTAGTGTGTAGGCAGAAAAAAAGGAATAAGCGCTTACCTGCAAGTTTGATTTTTTTTTTTTTTTTTTTTTTTGTCTGAAGATGGGCACTTGGTGCTTGTGACCCATTACAATTGGATTATTCCTTCTCAGCTTCCAAGAATGAAGACTCCTGTTTCCTTTAAGAGTAAAACCTTTCCAGCATCATAACATAGCGCCAGCAGGTGGGGCTGTTCAGAGAAATTATGGTTTCTCAATCTCCTTTGCCCAAGTTAAGAAGGCAAACTGTAAATTCTAACTATGAAAGATCAGCCGTCTCCAGGGAAGCATTATTTATGTCCTGTTTCCTTTCTTTAAACCAAAAATGAAACCTGGTGGATAAGAAAGAAACCAATTTGAGGAAATTCTGAAATCCCTATATTCCTTTTTTGGGGATGTGTGTGGGGGGTGGGGTGAATGGGGATTTTTTTGGGGTGCAGCCTAGTGGAAGTTATGGGGTCACCCAAATAGGGGCAGGGGGGTGTTCGTAATGCAGTGGCTGCCCATTTCAGTTGAGAAAAAAATTATGGGTAGCCTAGCAAATTTTTACCTCATTCCCTTGTATGTGCCCGGTGCTTCCTCAGCCATTACAGATGGGAACTAGCCAATGGTGAAACCAGTCTCTGAGTGTGTCAGGGAAATGTAAACAATGAAATGGAACCAAAAAACCCTACAACTGGTCATACTGGGGGACATAATATATGTGGCTTTTTTTCCTTGTGCTCCTCATGTGATAATTGGTTTTAATGAAGGAGCGTCAACATTTTATCTTAAAGTTGTATCAGACAAGCACGCCTCTAAAGTGTTAGAGGTATGCACTAAAAACCAGGTAGGTGCATGGCAAAATGACTTGAATGATAGGCTGTTGCTCTTACCAGCAACATGACCAGATGAATCCTGTAGGCCTGATGAATGAGCTCTCACAAAAGAAGATCTCTGAAAAATTTATAGGCCTGGTTAAATCCTGAATTAATCTGTTGGGAAATAATGATATGAATGCTTTGAGCCATTTCTTAGGTCATTCATCCAATCCTAGTTTTGCAGGAAATTTTAATTAAGGTATAATTTTCTTTAAACAGAATCCAAACGTTCCAAATGCTGCCTTTGTGCAAGGAAATCCCCTTGTTGTGCAAAGATAACTATATAAATGGATATTTTTGTAGGACAAAAATGTGGGTCAAGCATTGCCTCATTTAGGAAAAAATTATTTGTAAGGTTTCCAGATGGAAAAGGCCATGAAACTTACTAAATCTTTTAATCAATGTAATTGTTAGCAGGAACAAGTAATAGAAAACATGAAGAAGATGCTCATTAAAAAGAAAAGATTTAGAGAATACTTGAAGCATCAAATTAGTCCATCTTCTACTAATCTCTTGTTGGCGTCTCAGCTGGGAGACCACTATAAGGAACTGGGAGATGAGGGTGCTGGTGTGGGGACAGGGAGAAACAGGGTGTGGTAAACAGCTGCAGTGGAGAAGGAATAAGCCACAAGATTCCTCAGGTTTGGACCTTCAGAAAGCTAGGACTTGGACCCCATCATGAACACATCTAGAAGGAACTCCATTATATCCTTGTTTGTGAGATCAAGTGAGACTATGCTCATTTCATGAACACTGTGGGAGTACCATCTCAAAATCTTTGAGAAGTCCAGTAGATGGTTTTGATTTAGAAATTTTATTTAAACGTTCATGCTTTAGAAAAGCTAAACTAACTTTCAGCACACTTCTCTCATGCTGCAAGTCTGGAAGTTGGAGAGGAACCTGGAATAGAAGTTTAGGGAAAACTTGGAGGTTCAAAGATGCAGAAAAGGTATCTGAGAGACTGGGTCTTTGGTTCACTATTTTCTATTTCTGTTACCTGCTTGACAGCCAAATGGTTTGGTTTCTCATCTTGTGCGTCCAATTTGCATCAGCTTGGTCGGTTGGCCTACAGGATACCATTTTATTTAAATGTAGGCATTTAATCATTAGATGCTCTTGGAGCAGATTTTGCCCTTTGCACTTTTGGATAGTACAAAGCATAGCAGATCCTAATTTAAAAATAGAAAAGGCATGTTAAGTAAGAAACACTAACACTTCCTGTACCAGCTTCATAGTAGAGCAACCCTTAAGCTATTGGACTATCCAGGCTAAGCCTGGTACTGACCTAGGCTGTATCTGCATGGTAAACTGGCAGCTGTGCCATCAAGCATGTGACAGTGTTTCATCTGGATTGCCTCCTAAACTATAGGCAGTTTAGCTTGGAAGCAGCTAGTTGGCCTGGTCACACAGTGATACTGATTAGCTTGCCCAGAGCACTACACAGATAGGACTGTACAGCTTCCAGTTTAGGCGCCAACATGGTGTACCCAGGGGCACCAATATCAGGTGTGTTAAGACGCAACCTGAGCTGCTTCCGCAACTATAGCTTTTGCTGTTCCTGTAGTTCATATAATGTGCCTCTTAAGAAAAAAGTGGACTCTTTTTTTTTTTTTTTTTCCACCACCTCTTTGACCTCCCCAGCATTTACAGACGTAGGGAGCTGTTAACAGGGCAAAAAAGCAGACTTGGGCTTGAGGATTCATGCTTGAAGGTCTTTTGCTTCTGTAGCAATATCCTGAGAATTGTAAAACTATTTCAGTGAAGCTTTAAAGCCCTGAAGCAAATGGGTGAACTTCTCTTTTAATGCTGACATGCAAGTGTGAGATCCTAATTGTTTGGAATAGCCACTGCAGCTGATAGGTTTGGTGATAGGAGCAACAGAGTGCTTTCACTAAGGTTGCTTGGATGGGAGTTGCTGTCAGGCTCTGTCAGAAGGCAAGCTAGACCACTCTGGCACACATGAAAGGAAACCTAGAAGGAGAAAAGCTTAATCCCAATTCTGCCTATGCATATCAGCTATCTTGGTGGTCTTGCATTTTACAAGGGAAGTAACTGAAAGTTGTAGTAAAAAGGCACCCTGTTTAGCTCATACTGACCTAAGGGAAGCCAGACAGGAAACAGAAAGGCTGCTGGCACCCATTGACAGATGTGGTTTAGATCACTGTGCTGCATCTTGTAAAAATGAAATGGAAAACAGTGGTAAATGGAGAACTGTGCTGTGCTTAAGGAAAGCAGAGGAATAGGCTAACTGGCACCAGTAAGCTACTTAACTGACTCATGGAAGAAAAGCAAGTGAAGGGGGTGGGGGGATATTGCAGTAGGGAAAAGTGGCAGGCTCAGGCCATGCTTGACAAACCCACATGTGAGGGAAAAGATCAGCTCATAAGTCACTTTAGCTGCCTTATTTTAATGGTAACTGGTAAATCTGGAGAATGAAAAAGGTAAGGGGTTCTGCTCTGGGAGATTTCCCTAACCTACAGATTTACTGCTTCCTGGAGACATTTCTGGGTGACATTTTGCCCTGGTCCACCCCCCCCCCCAAAAAAAAAAAAGAAAAAACCAACCCAAACAAAAAACCAAACACAACAAAACAGCCAGGGGCCTGTGACTTCTTGCTTTCAAAATGCCAGGATTGAATTTTTGCCCCTTGCTGCTAAAGTTGTCTGTGCCACATAGCTGCTGACTCTGTTTTGGTTTGGAGCACTAAGGAGCCAGGGACCACATGGTGGATATAACGTAAAGCAAGTCCTACCCCAAATAAGGCTTTCCTACTGTATTGCTGTACAAGGTGGGGTGGTGGAAGTGGTGCTATTGTAACGCCGAGCCATGAACAGGAGCCCTTTAGTCTTAGCTGGATAAGCAGTGCTGGAAAATTTTGTCCTTTGATGCTGGTCTCCTGCAGGCTCCTGTTCTCAAAAAGTCCCCCTCTTACTGGGGACCAGGGCCCAAGGACTATAGAAGAAAAATTACAATGGAATAAAACTCCTGCCTCAGACTGGAGGGGTCTAGGAGCTGAAGAGGCTTCTAGCAGCGGTTAGACACTGAGGTGTTACAAGTCCTTCCTCTCTAAATAGCTCCACCTTCTGGCACTACAGTGTTCTGTTTGAAAAGGAACGGGAGTCCTTGAAAGCTAAAGAGTAACCGAGGTGTAATGGATCATGAAGTAATTGGTGCCCACAAGGGAGAACAGTCTTGTCACTCTGATTTAGACCCGAGCTCCTTACTGGAAAATATCTTTGTACTGAAGCAGGAAAAGACGTGGGGGACGTAAGTGTGAAGGAACCTTGCCAATATTTGCAGTACGTTGCCAAAAACAATTGATTTTTTTTTTCCATTTGCTTGTTGGAAAAGAAGTGACCTTCAAGATTCCCTGGAGAGCAGTAAGGAACTTTGAAAAACTCTAAAATGTTTGAGTAACTTTAAAAGCAATATAGGGGTGAAAGTTTCTTGCAAAATTGAAAATGACATGTGGCAATAGGAAAATGCAGGGACTTAAGACCAGAAGAAAGATAAACTTGTCTGGAGGAGCAAAGTGAAAGCTCTGTAATGGCTGCAAAGCTTGAAGACATTGAGAACCGATCTAGTGATTAAATGGAACCCCTCCCAGAAGCCCAGGAGGATTTTTCTTTTAATATAAAATAAACAAAACAGCAATTTTGACAGCATTAATATAGTTGTAGATGGTCAATAGAGTAATGTCTTCTTGGCTGGAATGCTCACTAAATTATATAAGCAATTCCCTTTGCTATAAAAGGGGAGCTGCATCCCTAATTCCTCAGCATTCAAGAGAAGAACATAATGCCAGAGCACACAGAACAAAAGAATTCACATAGGCATCCAAAGCCATCTGTATGGTTATAGAACTATCTTGATCAATTTTTATTTTCCAAATGGAAACTCCTGTTCTTGTCTTCAATTCCATAATACATTTTTTGAAATTAACACCTACATACTGTCTAACCAGAAATCACTACGTGATTTGCTTTTTAGAAATAGCAATAACAAGGAAGTAAAATCCCTCTATAGAAATTTATCTTTGTGTCTTTGGGCTATTCCAAACAAAGTTTGTGTGCGTGCGTGTGTGTGTGTGTGTTGAGACACAAAGTTTAGACCCACCTTTGTAAGATTTTAAAATATTGGGGGAGGATGAAAGGGGGGAGGAAGAGCAGGGCATTTGGTAGTAAATGTAAACTATTTTTGCCTATGTCTAAGACATTGCTCAAATTTACTATGCACTCATTATATAGCAGGTATGTGAGTATCCTTTCACTGGATTACATAGAGTACATTTCAAGACACTATATGGAAAAAATCTAGTGTTAACTATTTCGGAACAATGATGTTAAACCTCCAGCAAATCCTTTGCTGCTTTTTCCTACATCTTCCCACCCTAAATTAAACAATTCAGCCTTCATTGCCTGCATTTTGGGGATGGAAAGGGGTGGGGAGAATGATTTGTGGAGGGCATGTTAATTGTTTATATGTCAACAGACCAGAGCTGGCAGGTCCAGATCTCCTGCTGTTGGCTTTATTGCAAAGTACTTTGCTGTATTAAGTTAAATCCCAACTCCTGGCACCAAAGGGACTTTAAAAGAATGTCTCACTGGGTTAGCAGAAACCAGAACTTTTTATAATCATGTCTCCCAAATGCTGCTTGTATAGAATTTGTCACTTTTGTAAGAAAATAAAAACCAACAAAAAATATCCAACCCACCACTTGATGCCATATATGATTTCATTTAAACTACCTCTCAGTGTAAAATCAACCAATTAGTCCAGTTTAATAGGGTTTCCGAACTGTAATGTTATGTAAAAGTTCTAGTGACTGCCAAATTTACAAACGTCTGTCACCAAAAAAGTAACGTCTTTTTGTATGCGTTTATCCAATAGATTCAAACTATTGTAAACTCGGTTGTATTCTTTTAATCTCTGTCTTTTTAGTCTTACAAACTCCAGTTATTGGGCAGGAAATAAATCATTGCCACAAGCTTTCATAGTTATGGTCTGTTGGACTTTCAACAGGTCTCATATACAGCTTAATTGTATGGCTTGATGAATGGTATTCTGTAATGGGTGTGCGCCACAAGTTATATTGTCTTGTTTGCCTCTCTTCTGAATTTAATGATCAGTTTATTGTTGCAGATGTGAATATTGGGCATACAGTTTACTAATTTTCTGTATAATTGTATAAAATAGAATGGGAAAAATATTATGTTCTTACCCAGTATTTCTAGGTAATGTATTATGGATAGCCTTATAATGCAGTCTTACCTACAGAACACTGCACTTCTTTTAAACTGGATTATATGTTCATGGTATGTATAGGTAGACTTTGCATGAACATTCTTTTTCATCAGAGTTTGATTCTTTATGTCCTACTTTCAGTGTGTTGTGTTTACGATGTGATCATGTAGTTGTGCCTTATTGTGAAAGGGTTTAGTCCAGTATGCACTGTAATTCCTAAACTCTGCGATTGGAAGGTGACTATAGTTGCAGACAAGAAAATGACACCATGCATCACCTAATTCTGTATAAAATATGATGGATGGCTGTTCATTGAAATGTTACTTTTGTTTTCTAATCTGTTAAAGAAATGATAATAAAATTACATCTTTCTGATAGACTGGCTTTGTGATTCAGAATGATCTTATCCTGTCTTAAAAGACAAAGCTACTTTAAACTGGATTTTATTAATTTATAAATTAATTGTCAAAAAGCAAGCTTGGCTTTCTACTTTTTAATTTTGATGGTAAAGAAAGTTTCACTGTACATGAGGTGATCATTCATTCCATCTTTGTGTCTCATTTTTTCTCCATGCTCAGCTAACTACTGGAGAATGCTGTTGGGTAGATTAGGTTCTTTGCAAGAGAACAGTGGGTCCCTCCTGTCATTGACTTATGCTTCTTTTGTTCAATATCTATTGTAGTCTGCATTATCTTGGCACAAAGGAGAAATTTCAGTTTGCTTCCTACCCTAATTGGGAAGTCTTTCTTAGCAGGTGCTAGAGAACTTGAGATGGTTTTAGAGTTTAAAACTAAAAAAAGGAAGTTCTTTTTCACACCGTGTATAATTACAGGGTGGAACCCATTGCCACCAGATATTGTGGAAGCTGACAGTTTAGCCAAATTCAAAAAGGGATTAGCCCCTTTGTCTAAGAATTTGTCATCAGTAGCTATCAAACATGGGAGTTAGGGATACAGTCTCTGAATAAGAACTTCCTAGACCTTAAATACTAGAGGCTGCAAGTGAGAGGGGAACAGTGGGGGAAAAAAAACCTTGGTCATACCCAGCTCACTCTCCTTTTCAACATCCACTGTCTCTCCCTGTATGACACAAGATACTAGGCAAGATGGACCTAAGGTCTGACCCAGTAAATGGCAATTCTTATTTTCTTCTGTAGGGGCACACACCTCTGGACAGATGTTCACTGCAGCAGCAGACCAGTGATCAGCCCTCATCTGTGATCACCTAGGTTTGTCTACCTTGGGTGTGAGCATGTATACAGTCCTCGACTTACAACGTTTTGAGTTACAACATTTCACACTTACAACATTTATAAATTGATACCCTGTTCCAACTTTACAATGCCAGTTTCGACTTTACAACGCTTGATCCAATGCCATGCCAAGTTTGCTGTATCGTTCATCTCCCTGAAGAACATCTGTCCAAACTTTCCTGGACACTTTCTTTAAGAAAGCAGACAAGACTCCAAAAAAACCTGCAGGCAAGACTCTCGAGAAGACTCCAGCCAAGAACCCTTCAAAAAGTCCAACCAAGAGCCTTTCAAAAAGTCCAGCAAAGTCGCCTCAAAGAAGTCCTTCCAAATCAATATGATTGCTATTTACAATATAAATAAATTAATGTAGCTATATTACTCATCTATAATTGATTGAGTACAACATTCTGGGGTATTTTTTGGTGAAAATAGGGTATTGGGCCTTGATTCAGGAACTAATCCCCCATTTATAACATTGTTTCTTATGAGAAAATTGGTTTCGAGTTGCAATATTTCGACTTGAGACGCGGTTTTCAGGAACCAATTGTGTCGTAAGTCCGAGGACTGCCTGTATTGCAAAGCCATATTTGAAATACTGGTGTCCTCCCTGGAGCTACATTCATCTATTAGAAGTACTAGGGCTACTGTAGTTGTCATATGAGATTCTTAGAGCTGTAGCAGACTGAGCGACTCTTTCTCTTTCCTTGTGAACTGTGGGCAAAATTCTGTTCCTGAGTGTGTGGGGGAACCATGGAAAGACATTGGGAGACTATCAGCACTCGAGTGTTTTAGGGCAAGGGTGACCAACCCATGGTGCGCACACTACAAGTGGCACATGCAGTGATTTGATAAGGTATGCAGCAGATACATCAGGGTTCAGGGAGAACTGCAGCTTGGGCAGGAAGAAGAGAGCAGAGCAAGAGATCAGGCAGCGGACTGGATCAGCGTGGTGCTTGGGGAGGTGGCAGGGCTTACTTTGTGGTCTGCTGGCCAAAAAGGTTGGCCCCCACTGGTTTAAGGCATGTCGGTATGTCCTCCGAGATGCATGTTCCGTATGAAAACTCCTGCAAATGAGGCAGTATTGCTGCCTCAGAGCAGTGCTGAGTATGTCTCAAGTCTGTTTATTGACACAGAGTCTAAGAGTGGTGGTCAGCACCATTCTGAAGTGTCTACATTACTATCTTTTTTGGATTTGGCACATATAGAACAGGAGTGAGCAGGGCCTGCTTCCTGGTCAATAGCTAACCTGGATGTAGAGCACCAACACACTGATGGAAAAGTTAGGTTCCTTCACAAGAGCTGGATTAAGGACAGCACTAGAGTGAAAACACCAATTAATTCTGCAGTAATTACAAGTATTGAGACACTAAGCTGATTTCTACTGAATAATTCAAGTATCTGGTGTTTGAATTTTCAACTTCATAGTGGTCATCAGTCTTGAAGTCATAGACTATGTAGTGATTATCAGCTTTCATATATTTATCAGCTTTTCATCATATATTTACCATATTTTTTCATATTTATCAGCTTTCATATATTTATTCCCTTATATAATTATTCCTTATTATGTAGCACTGAGTAATTGTAAAATTTATGCATGATTTTTTCTATGCATTGTGTAATTTTGAATTTTTCACTTACCTTCAGAAAGTGACTTGAACAATATATACATGTTTTAGTGAGATTGTGAACTTGGGACATAATCAGTGAAGTGTATTGAATTGTAACATTTCAGCACACAAAGTATAATCTCTCTCTAAGTTTCTTGAGATGCAGCTATCCAAGAAAGAGGAAAAAGTAGCTCTCTAAGGCCTGGGCTGAGGGTCAATGAGGGCCTTGTTGCACAGCAATTTTGGGCGTCTCCTGGAGCTCTTAATCCCTGGATTGTCCACCACATTAACATCCAAAACTAGTTTTAGGCACTCATTATGGGCATTTGTACACATACTTGTGCCACAGCACTGGGCACTTTTAAAAGTGCCTAGTGCTGCAACATGTGTATTTGTATAATCGGTGAAATACATGTCAGCGCTGAGAAAATGGTGGCGATGGCGCACTTTTGAGTTCAAAAGCACGCTGCTACTATTTTCTCAGCACTGATGTGCATTTTGCTGTTTATACAAATGCACGCAACACAGAACCGGACGTGTCAGCTCACATGCAGAGCAGACTCAATTCAAGTCTGCTCTGATGTGCTGGATCTCCGTGGTGTTGGAGCAGACAAAAAAATGTGTATAAACGCCCAATGTGACTGAAAGTTATGCCACTCCAAAGCAGAATCATGTCTGATCTGTGTTATCCAGCTTGTGTTACACTAGGCAGCGCCTTACTGTAAATAGCCCAACCACCACCCCTTTCTGCTCTGGCTTGGTTAGGGCCCACTCCTCCCTCCCTGCCCTTCCCATCACCCCAGATCCCTGCTAATTGCTCCCCCCCTTCACTTACTTGCGGTTGCTTGCACTCTGGGGGAGCAGACAAGGAAGGGTTAAACTGCCTGCCCTGCCTGAGCCACTGCTGCTGCTCTTTGGGTGGGCCTAGCTTGGAGAAGAGCAGCAGCTTGGTGGCAGCAGCAGCACCTGGCAGGCAGGTTAGCCCTTCTCTGCCTGCTTCTCCTGAGATGGACAGACTTGGGGGGAAGGGGGGAAGACCTGAGGGACAGGAGGGGAGCCCCTGAAGGGATGGTGAAACTGGGGGAAACCTCAGAGGTGGGGGCGGGGTGGGGGGCAGGCTCTACTTTTCAATCCTCTAGGACCCTGGTGGCCTGAAGTGTGACTGCTCCAAACTGAAGCTAGCACTGACAGCGATCAACATTTGTGTGGCTCAGTGTAATGTGTAACAAGGTCCTGATATACAATCAGAGTTAGTTATTATAGAATCATGGAGGGGCCAGCATCCTAGCACCCAGCTGGTATATGCTAGGTAGCTTTGGCAGTGCGTCACCTGTGGTAGGGGCTGGGGGTGGAGGAGTTTCCTTCATCTGTGCCAGGGCCAGGAGCTGGGAACTGCATCAGTGCCATATTTCCCAGCCCCATGCTCCTTGACTAGCGAATGAATACAGGTACCAACCACAGAGGAGCTGTGCCGTAAGTGGGCAGCTGATGACTGCATTCACACTGATGTTGCTACTTGTCCCAGTCCCTGGGTTCCCAGCTGCAGAATGGGCAGTGGGGAGCTGGGCTGGACAGCTGCCACCATTTCCCCCCCACTGCATCTGCAGCTGGAAGCCAGCCAGCTCCAGCTTAGCTCCAGGGGGAAGGGAGAAGCAGCAGTGATGTGGGTGCACCTACTGGCTGCCTGCCCCCAGTGCACCCCTCACTGCCCAGCCCCAGCACGGATGCAGGCAGTGGCATCTGGCTCCATACCATATCCAGTGTCTCTATAGGCTACATTTGGCCCATGGCTCATATGTTGCTGACTCCTGGAATAATATATTTGGTAGGGAAATCTCAGAGGTTAAATCAATTGACCAATTGATCAGAAATGAAACACTGGCATTTTATTCTTTCTTCAAATAAAATATCCACAGGACAAGAAGTTTTTTGTTCTGTTTATGTACATTGTAACATTTTGTAGTTCGCTCTCACAAGTTATCTGGGATGTGAGGAGATTTTTCAAAGGCACAAAAGGCAGTGAGGGGCCCATCTCCCACTGAAAATCTATGGGAATTTGGGACCATTTCTACCTTTTACAAATCTGCCCCTATAAGTAAAGTATTTATGCAAGTAATACTTGTGATGCACTAGTTACTAGCTAGGAAAGCCTATACATGCATTCAACCACAGCTAGAGATCCTTAAAACTTCAATGCCATGGAACTTATTAGGACAGGGGAAGTGAACTCAGAAATATTCCTTCTTGACTTTCTTTCTTAGTCACATTCTCCAAGATGCCTTTCTCTTTGTTGTTCTCTGTGGGGTGGTAACAGCACTGCAGCACCTCTGCTACTGGGGCTTAGTACAGACAGTCAAAAAGTCCAAGGCTGATTTGATTCAGTCTTTGCAGGTTAGTCTAAGTTGCAAAGTTTGAACCAATAAGCAAATGAACAGACATTCACTTTTGATTCGGGAAATGCAGCCATATGCCTGCAATGACTCATGCCAGAAGCCAGAGGTGCTACAGCATGGCT